CACGCGGCCTTCCCGAAGGAAAACCCGCGGGAGGCCCCGTGACGTCACAATGAAGGAGCGTTCCGACCTGCCTGCGGGAGGTTCCGCCCCCCTTGGTGGGCGGGGCCGGGTCCACGTGGCACGCAGGTGCGGAGGAGAGACAGCTGTCAGGGGAAGCCACGCCCCCCCACGTGGTCGGGGAGAACTGCGCTGCGCCCGATCCTCTGGCAGCGCGACTTTCCCGGGGCGCCCGGGCTTTCTCCCTGGCAAACGGCTGCCGCCCTGACTGACTCCCGTGGGCTGACCGAGGAGGTACCCGCGCGGGCGGGCCAGGTGGCGTTCGTAATCCGCGCCCGGCCAGAGCCTCGAAAAGTTCCCCTTTTTGTTCGGCCCGCAGTGCCTGCTGGGAGTTGTAGTCCACGAGGGAACTTGCCCACCCGCAGGCAACAGGCGTCCTTCCCCGAATCCTGCCCGCCATCATCCCCTCTCTCGAGAGACGATTTCCTGCTGGGCGGCAGGTGAGGTCCCGTGAGCAGAAGCAGCCCCGGAGAAACAACCGAGGCCAGAAAGAGGGATGCCCCCCACCCCACCCCCCGGAGGTACTATAGGGAAGGCGGCGTTGCGCTCCACCGGGGCTTAGGAGGGGCCCCGGGTCACTCTGCACGAAGCGCTCCCGCTCCTGCTCGCTCCTCAGGCCAGCTTCGCTGAGACCGGCTCTAAGAGGAGGAGGCCTGGAGACCCAACAGGTAGACAGACAGACCCAACTCTCGGGCAGCGGACAAAAGGACCTGACACTCAGAACCCAAAACCATTCAACGACTGTGTCCAAAAAACACTTTAAAACTATGGCTGCAAGTCCTGCTCTAGTTTAGTGCCAGCATCACACAAACAGCATAAATCTGGCCAGCAAAGTGCCCTCAACCTAGATTTTTTTCCCTGCTGTGGCCTGAGTGGCAGGATTGATTAAGCGACAGGAAATGTCCCTGGGGGAACTTCTTAACTGACAACCATTGAGCCATGAGATTTAGAGTCTGATTGGGTGACTCCATGGGTGTAACTAATAAGATTCTCATCAAGATAAATACAGTAAAGTCAACAGCTGACACAAAAACAACTTTGGACGGGACACCAAAGCCATGAAGTCACTAGGTGTCAAGCGCCCAAGGGGACAACCAGTTCCCTTTGGAGCAGGATGGGGCCACCCCCAAAGAGGATCGGGAATCCTCCGCAGCTTTGGGGATCGCAAGGGCTGGGTTGAGGCAAGGAGCCCCGGAGATCATCCGAAAGCAGGAGCAGGCTCTTCTTACAAGGGTTGGCTCAGGGTGGGTTGCAAGCTGAGGAGCAGGAGGGAGGCGCCGTCCCACAATGTTGGGGAGGGTGCCCCAATCAAGAGCTGCCCAGGGGTGAATAGACCCTCCTTCCAGGGGCTGGGGTGCAAACCATTCAGGGCTTTAAAAAACTCACCATCCATACTTGGAATTCCTTCAAGTCTTGTTCAGAGGTCATCCACCAGGCCTGGGTTTTGCTCAGAGACCTTTGACAGCCAGGTTAGGCATCGGGTAGGAATATCACGTGGTGGCGCTGCGGGTTAAACCGCAGAAGCCTCTGTGCTGCAAGGTCGGAAGACCAGCCGTCGTAAGATTGAGTCCATGCAGCGGAGGGAGCCCCCGTCGCTTGTCCCAGCTCCTGCCAACCTAGCCATTCGAAAGCATGTAAATGGTTCTATGGCTTGGAAACAGGGATGAGTACTATGCCCTAGAGTTGGACATGACTGGACTAAAGGTCAAGGGGAACCTTTACCTATAGGAATATCATGCTTAGACAGTTCAAGGTCCTTTCGGCATGCGAGGGGGTAGGGGAGGGAGAAAGCCCCACTATTTTCTCCTCTACAGCTAATAGCATTGGGCAGTGGGGGGAGGTGTTAATTAGAGCAGGAGGAGCATCCCAAAGGGTTAACCCCCTCTCCTCACCCATCAACTCTGTGGCTCTAATCCCATCTCTTACTTTCAGAAGTGAACGGCTGTCCTGGGTTCAGACTGAACCCACTGTAGGAGAAGATACAGAAGTTGCCTTAGTGGCTTGAGCAGGAGCAGAAAAGCTAGCCATTTCCGCTGTTTAAATGGTTTCCCATCAGCCGCCTCGGCAAAATATGGGACACCAACCGCAAAGCACACTGGGAGACCTCCCCGTGCAGCAAGCCGGAGGCGCAGAAAGAAGCACGTGCTGGTGGGCCAGGCAAAGCATGTGGGTGTCGTAATTAGCCGTTCTGTGGCCATAACTGCTGATTAAATGGCTGATCCCTTGATACCCACTCATTTATCAGTTCATTCAAAAGACCTGCGTTCCTTCCTGGACTAGTTCATTCCAAAGCCAGCTGGTCCTGCCCGTCTTGATGACCGAAGGGCCTTTGGGTGTAAACAAGAACACACACCCCGGAAGCTTTTTAATTAAAGATTTAAAACCCAGAGCAATTTCAATCCCCTTTCGCCACCCCGTGATCGTTCCTCTCTACAGGCTGACTGGCTGACTGTTCCCTTTGGGTGTTGTTATTGTTCAATTATTTGTGTATTTGAACAATACACACCATTTGTGTACACGAAGCCTGCAGGCCCTTGGGTTGGCCTACAAAACAGCACAGCCCCACTTTCACAGCCAAAAGTAAGCCCTCGCCCTCAAGGAGCTTACTAAACTCTGCCAACAGCAGACATGGGCTGCAGCCCATCAGGAAGGACATGGCAGATAAGACACAGAGTCACTCATTGCTAAGGTGCACCAAGACTGTGCATCAGTTTCCTTGGAAAAGAGCTCCTTCTCTGGAAGCAAAAAGCAACAACCGGAGAGACAACTGAGAATACGACTGGGGGGTCGGGGGGGTGGGAAGGCCAGGGCAAGGCAGGTTGTGTTGGTTGCGGCTGGGAAGTGCCAGGAGAGTTGCTGAAGGCTTTGCAGAAGGTTAGGGAGGTTGGGGGTGGGGGCAGCAGGGAAGGATTTGAAGGAAGAAAGAGGGAGTACCTGGTACCATATCCAAGGAGAGGGTCCCGTGCCTGTTGGGTGGGGAAGGGCACTGAAAGCCACCCAAGAACAATGCTGGCAGAAGAACAGGAGGCATGTCCAAGGCCAGCTGGCCCTCACAGCCTTCATGCCCACGCCCGCCCCTGGGCATCCACAGGAGGCAGGCAGGCAGGCAGGCTTGGCATCAAGAGACAGAGGGGTCCCGGGCAATACTGTTGCATTTTGACCCAGGGTGGTGAATAAAGTAATGGAGGGAAGTGTCCAGGGCTCCATGTCCTTCTGGAAGAACCACCATGACATTGGCTGATCAGCCCCTTCGCACACAGAGAAGCACCGGCAACAGACCCCGTTTTGCAACAGATGGGACAGTTCTCCTGCTCATTTTAAGCAGGGCGACCCTCAGGAAAGGGAACGTGGGAAGCCCAGCTACGGAGAAGATCTCCTTCGCTCTCGCTCTCCCTCCCTGG